AATTCCAGAGCACGTGTATTTTTCCCCAAGATGTAAGTCCAGGGTCTACGGGCTTGCGGCGGAGAGATCTACCTATCTTGTAGCCTCTAAAGACCACGTTTCTGTTTGTAAGTTCCCCTAATAAATCACGCAAAACCTACATATTGGATTTCTTTTTGTTTGTTTGTTTTTCGGAAGCAGAATCTCACTCTATCCCCCAGGCTGGAGTGCAGTAGCATGATCTCTGCTCATTGCAACCTCAGCCTCCTGGGTTCAAGCGATTCTCCTGCCTCAGCCTCCTGAGTAGCTGGGATTACAGACACCTGCCACCACACCTGGCTAATTTTTGTATTTTTTTTTTAGTAGAGACAGGGTTTCGCCATGTTGGCCAGGCTGGTCTCAAACTCCTGACCTCAGGTGATCCTCCCGCCCTGGCCTACCAAAGTGCTGGGATTACAGGCAGGAGCCACTGTGCATGGCCCACAAATTGGATTTCTCTGTCTCCTTTGGTTTCTAGGCTCCTTCTGCATTTGGGCGTTGCTGTGTATATACAACCATTTCACAGAACAAACTCCCATGGAAGTGCAAACTATATTGGCCCTTGTTTTATGCAAGTGACCTGTCTGCATCTGTAGCCTTCCAGTATTTGCTGGGTCTGTCTCCTTGGCATTTTTGGAGCTACATAAACCACCAGGTTTCACACTGTTACCCGGGGTTGCTGCTCCTCTGACCATTCTTCCTGTCTAGCCTCCCACCCGGTGTTCTCTCTCCTGACTCACCTTCTCAATGCTGCTATTCTTCCCATATCTTTTCTCTGTGTGCTCTAGATCACTTTAAGTTCCATATTGAACTCCTCTACATCCCTATATTTTAATAACCAGTTCCTACAATTCATTTCTTTTTTTTTTTTTTTGAGGTGGAGTTTCACTCTTGTTGCCCAGGCTGGAGTGCAATGGTGCAATCACGGCCCACCACAACCTCTGCCTCCCGGGTTCAAGGGATTTTCCTGCCTCAGCCTCCCCAGTAACTGGGATTGCAGGCATGCGCCACCATGCCTGGCTAATTTTGTATTTTTAGCAGAGACAGGGTTTCTCCATGTTGGTCAGGCTGGTCTCAAACTCCCAACCTCAGGTGATCTGCCTGCCTCAGCCTCCCAATGCGCTGAAATTACAGGCGTGAGCCACCGCACCTGGCCAATTCATTTATTTCTTAAACTAACTCTAGGCTGGGCATGGTAGTTCATGCCTGTAATCCCAGCACTTTGGGAGGCCGAGGCAAGTGGATCACCTGAAGTCAGGAGTTAGAGACCAGCCTGGCCAACCAATATGGTGAAACCCCATTTCTATTAAAAAAATCAACAACAAAAAACTAACACTTTGCTCTCCCTTAAGGATGTTTCTCCTTGGGGACCTCTTAAGGAAGGCTATTCATTCTCCCAAAATCCAACACCTCAAGTTCAAGAGGTGGAATCAGTGCTTCATGGATCCATGCAGTGGCTGGAGACCATTCATGCCCTCATGAATGAATGAACTATTGAATGGTGACTACTTGGAATGCAAATCTTTTTTTTTTGAATATTGCTCGTGTTGCCCAGGCTGGAGTGCAATGGCGAGATCTTGGCTCTCTGCAACCTCTGTCTCCCAGGTTCAAGCGATTCTCCTGCCTCAGTCTCCTGAGTAGCTGGGTTTACAGGCAGATGGCATGATGGCCAGCTAATTTTTGTCTTTTTAATAGAGACAGGGTTTCACCATGTTGTTCAGACTGGTTTCAAACTTCTGACCTCAGATGATCCACCCGCCTCGGCCTCCCAAAGAGCTGGGATTACAGGCGTGAACCACCATTTGCATTCCTGACCTGGAATGCAAATCTTTGGGTCACCTGACTGCTATCATCCATTGACCTTCTTCCCAATTGGCCTCATTTAGTCAAGGTGTTAGCCGGCAGCTTAGAGTTAGTCTTTTTTTTTTAATTTATTTTTTAATTTTAATTTTTTTTTTTTTTTTTTTTGAGACGGAGTTTCACTCTTGTTACCCAGGCTGGAGTGCAATGGCGTGATCTCGGCTCACTGCAACCTCCGCCTCCTGGGTTCAGGCAATTCTCCCGCCTCAGCCTCCGGAGTAGCTGAGATTACAGGCATGCGCCACCATGCCCAGCTAATTTTTTGTATTTTTAGTAGAGACGGGGTTTCACCATGTTGACCAGGATGGTCTCGATCTCTTGACCTCGTGATCCACATGCCTCGGCCTCCCAAAGTGCTGGGATTACAAGCTTGAGCCACCGCGCCCGGCCGTTAATTTTTATTTTTTAAAGATGGTGTTTTACCATGTTGGTGAGGCTGGTCTTGAACTCCCGACCTCAGGTGATCTGCCTGCCTTGGCCTCCAAAGTGCTTGGATTACAGGCGTGAGCCACCATGCCCAGCAGAGTCAGTCTTTTTATCATCCTATACTCTTTACCTTTATATATGACTACCATCCTCAAAATATCTAGAAAATCTCTACTTGATGGATATTTTGTTGGATGACCTGCCCAACATCCAGCCCCTTATTTCCTTGACTTGCTCATGGCCAGTGACCTTCACCTGCATTCACTTTAACCGCTGTACAAAACAACAGAGTGGTTTGTTGTAAACAATAGAAATTGACTCTAGCAAACTTAGATCACCAATTGGAGATGTTTCTCCACCTCCTTCTTGATTTTTTTTTTTTTTTTTTTTTTTTTTTTGAGAGAGAGAAACAGGAGAAGGAGAGAGAAATAAACAGCTAACTCACACTGAGAGAAAATCCAGAAAGATGGAATCCAGGAGAGGAAAGCAGCTTCCACGCTGAGTGGAAGGGAATAGAGAGAGATGGAGTTTAGGAGGGGAAGACAGGCTTCCATGAAGGGAGTGTTCGTGGAAGGGGACTCCGGAGGGAAAATCCAGGAGAGAGTAAAACAGCTTCCATGAGCACGAGAGTGTTCATGGAAGGGAATCCAAACATGGAGTTCCCCTTAAGATGGTGGTAAAATGCACATAAAATTTACCATCTTTTTTTTTTTTTTTTTTTTTTTAATGGAGTCTCACTTTTACCCAGGCTGGAGTGCTGTGTGCAGGGCTGATGGCCCCACAGGGTCGTGGGGTGTGCCTTATGCTGTGCTGAGGCGTAGGATCCGAGAAACAAAGAGACAGGACACAGAAGTACAAGGAAAATGCAGCTGGGCTCGGGGGGCCACGCCACCTATTAGTGGAGTCAGGCGAGGTCCTGAATGTCCAGAAGTGTGAGTATTTATTGTGTATAGGTTAGGGGGCAGGTCAATGAGTGCAATCATAAGGATAGTGATAGGGTCGTGAGCAATAAAACAAGGGGTCCACCTGCATTAGGTCAGCTAGGCCAGGAGGTGGACAGTGCACAGCAAGGGGCCCGTTCCCGTGAAGGCAAGCTTTATTATTTTCACCATTACAGTGACTATTACACAGACTGTATTATTGCTGGCTGAGCATAGTGGCTCATGCCTGTAATCCCAGCACTTTGGGAGGCCAAGGCGGGCAGATTACAAGGTCAGGAATTCAAGACCAGCCTGGCCAATATGGTGAAACCCTGTCTCTACTAAAAATACAAAAATTAGCCAAACTCTAGTCCCAGCTACTGGGGAGGCTGAGGCAGGAGAACTGCTTGAACCTGGGAGGTGGAGGTTACAGTAAGCCGAGATCATGCCATTGCACTCCATCCAGCCTGGGCAACAGGGCAAGATTCGTCTCAAAAAAAAAAAAAAACAGAATTTGCATGAATAAAACCCAGAGATGACCCCAAATCTTGATGCATTCCTTCTCTAACCATTTCACAAGCACCTATTATATGCTGGGACCGAGGATAAAAAATATATATATGTATAGTTCACTGACATTAAGGTGACATTAAGTACATTCATATTGTGCAATCATCACCACCATCCAGCTCCAGAACTCTTTCATCTATCAAAACAAAAACTCTGTATCCATTAAACAGCTACTTCCTGCTCCCTCCTATCCCCATTCCTCTTTCTGTCCCTAGGACATTGACTGCTCTAGGAACCTCGCATCAATGGAATCACACAGAATTTGTCTTTTTGTGTCTCAAGCTTTATTCATATTGCAGCATGTGTCAGAATTTCCTTCCTTTTTAAGGCTGAGTAATATTCTCTTGTCTATATATACCATTTTATTTACCCATTCACCCACTGATGAACACTTGACTTGCTTCTACCTTTTTGCTATTGCAAACAATGCTGTCATAATAATAGTTGTACAAATATAACAACAACAAAAGGCCCTACTTTCTTTTTGTTTGTTTTTTGAGACAGAGTCTCGCTCTCTTGCCCAGGCTGGAGTGAAGTGGCAAGATCTCAGCTCACTGCAGCCTCTCCCTCCCAGGTTCAAACAATTCTCCTGCCTCCACCTCTCAAGTAGCTAGGAATACAGGTGTGCATCACCACGCCCAGCTAATTTTTGTATTTTTAGTAGAGACGGGGTTTCACCATGTTGGCCAGGCTGGCCTTGAATTCCTGACTTCAGGTGATCCAACCGCCTCAGCCTCCCAAAGTGCTGGGATTAGAGGCGTGAGCCACCACCTCCGGCATGTAAATACTTTTTTTTTTCTTGAATTCCCGACCTCAGATGATCCGCCCGCCTTGGCCTCCAAAGTGCTTGGATTACAGTCATGAGCCACCACGCCCAGCCGGCAATACTTTTTTTTTTTAACCAAGGACTTGGGCATCTGTGGATGTGGGTCCTCTGGAGGGGTCCCTGGAACCAATCAGGAATATAAAATTCTTTTAAGATTTTAAGAAGAGTGTTGTTCTCTCTGTTGTACTGACGAAGGCGCGCAGGCGCAGCGAGATTAGGCACCCTGCCTAAAGTTACAAAGCCTCTTACCCTCAGGCCATCTCCGGCACAGCAAAGCTAAGCCCTCCTGTCTAAACTTGGCGCCCTGAGTACCAAGGGTCACCTTAAAGGACGAAGCGGGGGAGGCAGAGTCTCAGGGCAAGGTCTGAGCCCCACCCCGCGCCCCACCCTCTGTCTGGTACAGCTGAACAAACGAAAGTGTCCGAAGCCGGCCAGTGACATCCCAGCAGCTCCTCCGAGCCGCCCGGCGTCCCGCAGGCCCCCGCCCTCCGTACGTCACCGCAGCCAGGGTGCAGTGCCCCCTAGGGGCCCCTGCGGGCAAGGAGGAAGCGCCAGGTCCTTCCCGCCGCCCGCCGGCTCGCCTGGCACGCGCCCAGCCGCCGTCGCCAGCAGCAGCTCCGTATCCCAGGAGGACCCACCGCCCCGCGCCATGGGCAAGCGCCTGCTGCCCGTCTTGTGCCAGCTCCGCCACCCGCTGCAGCCTCCGGGCCCGCTACGCCGCCTCCGTGTGCCCTGTCGCGCCAGCAGCGGCGGCGGCGGAGGGGGCAGCGGTGGCGGGGAGGGCCTGCTCGGGCAGCGGCGGCTGCAGAATGGCCAGGCCCCGAGCAGCTGCAGCCCAGGCGGCCGGACGCCCGCGATGCGAGACTCGATCGTCAGGTGAGTGTCGGGTCCGGCCCGCCCTGGTCTTAAGCTGCTGCGGCCCCGGCCCAGGGGCGGGGCGCCCGGAGCCGCGGTGGGGAACAGAGTGCCGGGCTGCGAGTGCTTAGTGCCAACTCGTTAGGGGCTCTGGGCTGTGTGTCGGGAAGCGCGGGCTCGGGGACTGCGGCCGGGCACGCTGGCGCAGAACTGGGGATCCAGGACCCGGCTAGGCCCGGAATGCAGGTGGGCGTGGGCGTCCCCGAGGGGTACCGAGCGGCACGGATCGCACGCCCGGCTCCACGTGGGCCACCGGCCGCCAGCTCTGATGCAACCGCGCGGGCGCGACCCATACCGTAGAGGGGCGGCGTGGCTGGGGCGGAAGCCAGGGGATGGGGCGAGGAGGAGGAGAAGGAGGTGGGCTGCGGCTCCGCGCGCCGGTTGGCCAGGGGTTCGGGGGAGGCGGGCCCGTGGGGCTCGGGGGAGGCGGGCCCGTGGGGCTCGGGGGAGGCGGGCTTGGGATCAGCACCGCCTGCGCGAGGCTCCGAGGTGTCCTGCGCCCCTCCCCGAGCGCCGCCCCTCCTGCGGGGCTGGGATCTGTGGCTGCTTTTCCCGGAAAAGCTTTTCCCGGAACGGCGAAGGTGGAGCCGGGCCCCGGGCAGCTGCCGGAGGAGCCGGAGGGGTCGCAGTGCTGGTTTCCAGCCCCGCCGCCCAGCTAGGTTTGCAGGGTTCTCCCGGTCTTGAGCGAACTGGGAGCCCCAGGCCGGGCTGTCCCTGCCCCAGTCCCCGCCCCTGGGCCCCAGCCTTCCCTCTCTCGCGGAGAGGGGTGCCCGGGCTCCGGGCTTTGCAGAGCGAGCCCCTCGGGACAACCTGGAGGTGGCGGGCAAGCCCCTTTCTCCTCCCTCCGAACTGGGGTTGGGAACGAGTTCCAGAATGCAGTTTCCCGGAGCAGGCGGCCTACCTCCTCCATTCACATCCTCTTCCCTTTTCCTCTAGCCTTCTTTCTTATAGTCGTGGCCTGCTTGTCTTTCTCTCTGCCTTTCCTTCCTCCTTCCCCTCTCCCATTTTCCTCCCCACTCTCCTCCCCTGCCTCCGTAGTAGAAAAAGTTTCCTAGGCTCTTTATTATGTGGCGGATGACTTTAAGGGACCGTTTATTTAGTTTGCCTTGTTCTGTCTTCTTTTTATTTTTATTTTGTTTTAGAAATGGGAGTCTCGCTCTGTAGTCCAGACTGGAGGTCAGTGGCGCCATCTCAGCCCACTGCAGCCTCTGTCTCCTGGGCTCAAGCGTTTCTCCTGCCTTAGCCTCCAGAGTAACTGGGGCCACAGGTGTGCCCTACCATGCCGGGCTAATTTTATTTTGTAGATACAGGGTCTCACTCTGACACCCAGGCTAGTCTGGAACTCCTGGGCTCAAGCCCTCCAAACCCCACCCGCCCCCCACAACCCAGCTCCAGCTCATTCCACTCCCACCCCCAAAGCACTGGAATTACAAGCCGGGTCTTTACGTTTTAACTTGCATGTTGTTGAGACTCATCCTAATGGTTAGAGTCTGAGGCCAGCATAGGATGCAAAAAACACGCCCTCCGTCGTGCTGTTCTATTTTCTAGGTAACACTGATTATAACCTGAAACTACTTGTTTGCTCATTTCTTGTCTGTCTCATCTACCTGGAATATAAGCTACATGAGGGCAGACAGCTGCCTCTTTGGTGCTATATCCTCGGTCCCAGCATATAATAGGTGCTTGTGAAATGGTTAGAGAAGGAATGCATCAAGATTTGGGGTCATCTCTGGGTTTTATTCATGCAAATTCTTTTTTTTTTTTTTGAGACCGAATCTTGCTCTGTTGCCCAGGCTGGAGTGCAATGGCATGATCTTGGCTTACTGTAAACTCCGCCTCCCAGGTTCAAGCAATTCTTCCTCAGCCTCCCCAGTAGCTGGGACTACAGTCTGGCTAATTTTTGTATTTTTAGTAGAGACAGGTTTTCACCATATTGGCCAGGCTGGTCTTGAATTCCTGACCTTGTAATCTGCCCGCCTTGGCCTCCCAAAGTGCTGGGATTACAGGCGTGAGCCACTGTGCTCAGCCAGTAAATAATACAGTCTGTGTAATAGTCACCGTAATGGTGAAAATAATAAAGCTGCTGCTGATGACTTAATTCTGAGTTTTAGCTACACATGGCAACCTAGCCAGAGAGTCTCACATTCCTTCCCACTGCCCTCAAAGTGGAGGCTGACAAGGCCATTTTTCTCCCCCAAGGACATGAACATCTCTGATTAGAAACACTTGTGTTACTTTTTGGATTTATTGAGCCTAATGACTCCTTTTTCGTTTTTGCTTTGTCACTGTAGCAACAAGTAAGTAACCCCAAAGAATGAAACATTACACATAGAACAAATTGTAGGGAGCATGGTCCTATTTTATTAGCTTGAGTGGTGATCACGTTGAACTCTTTACACACCTGTACAGGCACACCTAAGATATTGTGACTTCGGTTGCAGACCACTGCAGTGGGGGGAATGTTGCAATAAAATGAGTCACACAAATTTTGTGGTTTCCCAGTGCATATAAAAGTTATGTTTACACAATAGTGTAGCCTATTAAGTATGCAATAGCATTTTGTCTTAAAAAATATATATATATATATATAAGGCCAGGCACAGTGGCACACATGTGTAATCCCAGCACTTTAGAAAGCTGAACTTACTCTGCCTGTGCTCTATAAATGGGACAACAAAGCCTGGCCAAGGCAGGTGGATCACGAGATCCGGAGTTTGAGACCAGCCTGGCCAACTAGTGAAACCCTGTCTCTACTAAAAATACAAAAATTAGCCGGATGTGGTGGTACGCACCTGGAGTCCCAGGTACTCTGGAGGCTGAGGCAGGAGAATTGCTTGAACCCAGGAGGTGGAGGTTGTGGTGAGCCAAGATCATGCCACTGCATTCCAGTCTGGGCAACAGTGAGACTCCATCTCAAAAAAAGCCGAAACAAAACCACATATATACACACACACACACACACACACACACACACACACACACATACATCTTAATTTTAAAATATTGCTAAAAAGTGCCAATGATCTGGTGGAGGATCATGCTTAGATGTTGATGGTTATTGACTGGTCTGGTCAGGGTGGTTGCTAAAGGTTAGGGTTGCTGTGGCAATTTCTTTTTTTTTTTTTTCTTATTTATTTATTTATTAAAAATAAATAAATAAAAGACAGGGAGCCGAAGAGCCAAAAGCCTACAGCACCTGATACTGCCAGGCGGTTTCCCATCCAAGTACTAACCAGGCCTGACCCTGCTTAGCTTCCGAGATTAGATGAAATCAGCCGCGTTCAGGGTGGTATGGCCGTAGATGGCAATTTCTTAAATTAAGACAATGAGGTTTGCTCCTCAGTGGAACTCTTCCTTTCATGAAGGTTTTCTCTGTAGCCTTGCGTGCTACAGAGAGAAAATGGTAGCAATTTACCCACAGTAGGACTTCTTTCAAAATGGACATCAGTCCTCTCAAACCCTGCAGCTGCTTTACCAACTACTTGATATCTGCTGTAATCTTATAAATCCTTTGTTGTCATTTTATTTTATCTTTTGAGACAGAGTCTTGCTCTGTTGCCAGGCTGGAGTGCAGTGGCACGATCTCAGCTCACTACAACCTCCACCTCCTGGGTTCAATCAGTTCTCCTCCCTCAGCCTCCCAAGTAGCTGGGATTATAGGTGGGCACCACCATTACCTTGCTAATGTTTTAATTTTTAGTAGACATGGGGTTTCACCATGTTGGTCAGGCTGGTTTCAAACCCCTGACCTCATGATCTGCCTGCCTTGGCCTACCAAAGTGCTGGGATTACAAGCGTGAGCCACAGTGCCCGGCCTTTGTTGTAATTTTAACAGTGTTCATGGCATCTGCACCAGGGATGATTTCATCTCAAGAAACCACGTTCCTTGCTTATCCATATGAACTCATTTGTTCAAGCTATATCATGAGATTGTAGCCATTCAGTCACTCTAGTTCTCTTGCTGTTTTTGCCAAATTGCAATTACTTCCTCCACTGAAGTCCTGAACCCCTCACAGTCATCCATGAGGGTTGTAACCAGCTTCTTCCAAACTCCCTTTAATGTTGATATTTTGACTTCACCCATGAGTCATGAATGTTCTTTTTATTTTTATTTTTTGAGATGAGGAATTTTACTCTTGTTGTCCAGACTGGAGTGCAATGGCATGATCTTGGCTCACTGCAACCTCCGCCTCCCAGGTTCAAACGATTCTCCTGCCTCAGCTTTCCGAGTAGCTGGGATTACAGGCGTCTACTACCATGCCCAATTTTTTTTTGTATTTTTAGTAGTGATGGGGTTTCTTTTCTTTTTCCTGGTAAATATACATTTATTTTCTGCCTATAGGACACTAATGAATATCCCAACACATCTTAATTTCACCACTGTGTATGTTCTGCTATGAATGGATGGTCAATGTAACTGATGTGAAAAACACCACGACAAATAAACCTTTGTTCCACTGTACAGAGCTGGAGACACAGGAGGCTCTGACAGCAGTCTCCTCATGAATCTGCCATGTGCCTGTTGAGTGCTGCTGTGTGCCAGGCACAGGCTGGACGGCACTGAGCAGGACTCACAGGCCCTGTTCTTCGGGAGCTGTGAGATGGGGTTTCATCATGTTGGCCAGGCTAGTCTTGAACTCCTGACCTCAGGTGGTCCACCTGCCTCGGCCTTGCAAAGTGTTGGGATTATAGGCGTGAACCACCACATCCGGCTTACGGTTATCTAGAATGGTGAATCCTTTGTGGAAGGTTTTCAGTAACTTTGACCAGATTCATCAAAGGAATTATTACCTGTGGCAGCTATAGCCTTATGAAATGTATTTCTTTTTTTTTTGTTTTTTGAGACAGAGTCTTGCTCTGTCACCCAGGCTGGAGTGCAGTGGCGCACTCTCTGCTCACTGCAACCTCTGCCTACTGGGTTCAAGCAATTCTCCTGCCTCAGCCTCCCAGGTAGCTGGGAT